TTTTTCACAGTCAGCGGGTGAAGATACCAGTTTAGAAGAAATGTCATTTTTACAAACACTGCACTGATTCAGACAGTGTTTTAAGTTCATCTTTCAGTTTCACCAGGTCTGCTAATATTGTTTTTTAAAATATTCATCACACAGAAATTGTAAAATCCATTTTTCGTCAATCATTTATTGGTACTCTAACTTGAGCAGGTGTTTTTCAGGGTTTCCCACGAGAGTTGAACTTCAACATTTTAAGGCATGTAATTACACCTTTACAAACATATTGGTGAAGAAGTTGTTTGGTAACGATTTACTTGGCAGATTTGTGAAAAATCTCATAAAATGCCCATACTGTAAGGTGTGGACCTTACTATATAAAGCATGGTGAGATGACATATGTTGTGACTTTGTGCTATATAAATAGAATGGAATTGAACATGGCAGGTATTGTCTCCAGCATATTTCTTCTTTTCTCCTATAATACAGTATGTATCAATAAACATAGCATATTTAACAATGTGACTCACATAACTTATCTTTATGGATTCCTGATGAAGTCCTGGCCACAGTAATTAAGGGTGCAACTGATAGTTATTCCCATTATCACCCAGGGTCGTGTCAATGTATCACTGTGGACGTGTCATCAGTTTACCTGACATGAACCCTTTTGCTTCTGTTTTGGTTCTCTATTGACTTTGTATTGATGCCACCTTTACATGTCACATGTGCAACTGAATAGCTACATACACTAAATTTGCCTTAATATTTTGATTTACTTACCACCTTTGAAAAAACAAACAAACAAAACAAAACAAAACTTGGAGCCTTTGCCCCAAACAACACGGACACATGCGACATCACTTGAAGACAGGTATCAGATTTGTATCTCGCTCTCTCTGTAGACCTATGATACAATGGTGGTATTGGCAGCTCTGTGCTTGAAGATCTGGGCTACTGATCAGAAGGTTGGGGATTTATATAATCCTAACCCGCTGTTGGGCCCCTGAGCAAGGACCTTAACCCTGTGTGCTTCAGGGGCACCTCATGTATGTGTGCATGTGTATGCATATGCTAGGTGGAAAGTGCTGTAGTAAGTGGCTGCTGCTTGCACAGTTTAAAATCCAGCACAAGCTTAAAGAGGATTATGGGATGTGCAAGGCTCTTGGTCAGGACTTATTGAGGCAAATAACACGACTAACATATGGTCATATGTCACATCCCTGCCTGCTATTTCCTGATATGTAGCTTCCTTGGGTCTGCAAAAGTTCCTACCCAAACCCAGGGTTCTCAGAAAAAAACTATTGTAAGATTACTTGTAAATTCAAAGGGCTTAATTGAGGGAGCCAGATTTGTTTCTGCACGGGGGTGGGAAAGAGGCTCAGTGGTATACTGTGATGGACTTTACCATGCTGGGCACACTGGCCCTAGTGTGAATTGAGGTCTTTGGACTCAGACAAGGCCGATTGTAAAGAGGCCCTGCAAGCTTTTAATTGATTTGGCCTGTCTGGATCTAAATCCTCGGTCTGAGGCTCAGAGGTAAGCAGTTAGAAGCATTCTTAAACCTAGTCGAGCCTCTATATGTGAGGGTACATAATTGGTCAACTTGGCACAGAATCTCTCTCTTTCTCTCTCTCTCACTCTTCACAGTTACTTTTCTGATTGAAGGCAACCACAACTGAAAGTTTGAACAGTGTCATCCATCTTTCTCTGACATTCATAGTGACACACAATACAACAATAAAAACATATTTCTCTCTTTTTATGGAATGCTTCAGATATGTGGATTTGTTTTTACTCAATAATGGAATGTTCATAGCTGTACAGTCTCATCAAATATTGTATTCAATTAACTCTAAGCCGGTTTATGCATAATGTATTACATTCAACATGTAGCTATAAGACCTGTGGAATCAGCGTCCAGTTTGGGTTTAAGAGGCAGACACCTTCTCCACTGTTAAGGTTAGACTTGAAGCTTTCCTTTTTGATAAAGCTGATGGTTAGGACTGGCTCAGGTGACTCTGAACCATCAGTTATTATTGTTACAAACTGCTGGAGGACATCCCATGATACACTGAGCATCCCATCTCTTCTCTTTCTCTCTCCATACATGTATATGCCACCATTGCATGCTACTAACTTTATAGTTCCTTTCTATGGTAGTTTGTGTTTTGTTCTCTCAGCAGATATCTCTGGCTCTAGAAAGAGCTCTAGTTTCTGCTCTGCAATTACTGGCCTCTCCGACTTCCACAGTGTTTAGTGTTGTCTTATGCATTGCTTGTCTGATTTCTATCTGCTTTTCTCTCTTCTCTTTACCATCACCCTCTTCTATTGCAAGATATTAAACATTCTGTATCCAGTACTTTAAATGATTTATGCTGTGAATAGAGCCCAAATTTGGATTGTTGCTGCTTATCCAGGCTCTTTGATCACTTGAAGACAAAACTGGTAGGGCCTTAAACCTGGGTTATAATCTTGGACCTTGGTGTAAAAATAGCCTTAACATAGAACCTCACAGAGCAGACAAGCACCTAACTAATACTGAGCAGAAACATCCACAGAGACGGGTGGAAATGGGGTTGTACAACTCAGAGAATTCATACTACTGCTCGTGCCTAGTTATAGGGCTCAAGAACAGCCATTTTTTAAAAGAAAAATAGATGAAAATATTTAGTTCTGATGTGAAGCGTCTTCCTCTGGCTTTGTATAGCAGCACAGGAGCACAACAAGATTTATTTATGTATTTATTGTTATGTTTTGTGTGGGATTATAAATGTGAAAAGTGCTGTGGGTTTTTGTTACCTGGGATGGGGATGACAGGAATTGTCTCATTGGGTACCACCCTGAGTGAACTGCTGTCTTCCGCGTAGAAGTGGGCTGTCTGGAAACACCGCCTGACATAAAGAAAGGGAGGTCACATTTTCAACAATGTCTTTTACGCATTGCTACAGATTGGTTCAAGGTGGTATGAGCTGAAATACTAAATAACTTACTGGCATACAAACCATGTCCAAAAAAAATTCCTATAAAACTATTCTGCATTTTCATTTATGTTCAAAAAGAAAATGTATTTTCTCCTCAAAAGCTAAGAATGTGGTGCAGTAGAAAACACTTTCAGTTTGGAGAAGCTGCAAAGTCTGTGTCAGGTGGGGGGATAGCAATATGAGTCAGATGCAGGACCCTCACATAATCAAATTTTGGTTTTCACTTGCTGATGGTGAGGTTTAGGCACCAACAGATAGTGAGTGACTGTGTTTAGGAAAATCAGGTTCTTAAATGTAAGTGTTCTACACTTATACAGTGCCTTTCTATCTTAGTGGTGCTCAAAGTGCTTCACAGTGTGTTTCACATTCATCCATTCACACACCAACACACAGAGAGGTGAGGGATCGAACTGCCAACCCTGCAATTAGTGGACAACCCACTCTACCATCTGAGCCACAGCTGCTGTGAGTGGGATGACCAATGTCAGTTTATTTATGGACATGTTCGTCTGACTCTCATCATTTTTGGTCTGCACTCTGCTCCCAAAGTAAGACATTTAAGGGGGGGCTAGAATTTGGACCTGTATTGCTCCACACACTTTAGCAATATGACTATGTGGACTATGTTTCAACTATGGGCATCATCAGTATTGGAATGTTCCTTTTGATTTTTGATGCCCAAATTCATATAAACGACTTATTGTGCAGCCACTTGGATTACTGTTACTAATTATTACTTGCTGAATGGACATCACAGTTCATGTGGTCATCAGCCTGTGAAAGAGCCATCAATAATGTGAACCAACAAATTATCCTGCATAACTTAACTTACTTAAGCTGAGTGGTATAATTTTTTGCAGGATGTAAATGCACTAAACCAGTGAAACACTCTACTGTTTAGCAGGCTGGACATGTGTGTCACTAACAAAGGTCACATACATACTGTCAACCTGCTACACTGACTGTTGTCTATCATTGTTGTTGGATATGAAATGTCACAATTGGTGAATCTAAGTGTATCATGGAACGTACCCGAGAGAGAGAGAGAGAGAGAGAGAGAGAGAGAGAGTGTGTGTGTGTGTGTGTGTGTATGTTTAGAGGTGGAGAGAAAAAGAGAATACAGATTGCATTGTTACAGTCAGCAGCCGAGTACCCTCCTGTCAAAGTCTCAACTGTTGGTTCAGACTCACACAGAATGTGCTTCAGTCCAGGTGTGTTTTTCTATCGTAGAGGGAAGCTTTCAAAGAGAAGACATCACTGCTGATTGTCATATATGCTCCAGTGCAGTGAAGCAACAATTGTTTTACAATAAACCAGAGATAACTAAAAATTCATGAAGCATGCTTAGTTTCTGTATCTTCTTCATAATGTTAATATAAGATCAGTTGAAGGCACACGCTCATTTGTGTTCTTGTTTCTTCTGACAGTTTTTTTGACCTAGAGCTGTACACTTAATTTCTATGACAAGACGACGGACTAGAATTTGGCTTGGTGTTATTTTTACCAACTGAATGAGACGACATTTACTGACACTATCTGCCACTACATATCCCATACTGTGTCCTCATCTACTTCTACAGCTTACAGTGACAACAGTCTCTCAAGTTCCCCTGCAACAAAATATGTGTGTGTGTGTGTGTGTGTGTGTGTGTCCAGACCCTCCCTACCTGTATTTGATACAGAGCAGAGAGCAAAGAGCGTTCATCCTAGAGAACAGAAGAGAGAGCATACGGTCTGTCGCATGCTGTTGCTGACATGATCTGAGAGCAAGTGCACAGCGGAGATGGAGGGATAGAAGGAGGGAATACAGGGGGGAGGGAAGAAGGCTTTCCTAACAAGGCAAGAAGGGGGTTGTTCTCTCTGTGTGACACACACACCCACACACACACACACACACCCACACAGGTCAACGTCATGCAACTTCCTGGTGTTAGACCAGCTGGTGTCATGATGCATTCAAGTTATGTGGGACATGGGACACATCTGAGAAAATAGTGCAGTAGTTCAAGTGAAACTGTTTGCAAGCTGAGCGGAAGTCACATTTAGTTTGCTTTTCATTGTGTTTTAAACACTTGGACTACCTGACTACAGAGTATGATTTTTGATATTTTGACATTTGTTAAAACAGGTTCTACTACTAAATATTTTTCATGAATATTAGAAAGTTAGTGAATCAGTGTCAGAAGCAGTAACACAGACAGCTATGCAAGTCCAATGCCTAAAAATGATGTCACAAAAAAAAGGTAAGTCACAAAATACAAAAAATGAGAGAAAAAGTTCATATTTCTAATTCCATGAAAAAGACACAGCAATTATTATTTCTACATATCTAATATTTAAGAAATTAAGACAAGATTAGATAGCCCACTCACTGGGTTTATTCTAATGTATTTCTGAATACTACTACTACTACTAATTGATCAGATTTACATAGCGCTTTTTTAGACACTCAAAGACACTTAACACTGTCAATTATTCATTCACACACATTCATTCTGGTGGTGGTCGCTACGGTTGTAGCCACAGCTGCCCTGGGGCAGACTGACAGAAGTGTGGCTGCCATTCTCCAACCACCACCTCAAACCTATCCACTCATATGCATTCACACCAGGCACAACGACCATGACACAGGTTACAGGAATCGAACTGCCGACCTTCTGATCATTGACTGACCTGCTCTGCCACCTGAGCCACAGCCACCCCCGGCTAGATTCAGCTACTTTGACAAATGATTATAACAAGCTTTGCAACACAAAGGCAAAGTATTTTGCTGATGCCTCATATCCCATCACCTGCAGACTGTGTTAGCAAAGAACCAAACTCTATCACTGATGAACAGCTGGAATCAAATGGATTCGACAGGATTCTAACACTGTTCAATGTTTCCAGATGTTGTACCATGTACCATTTGAGGTCTAACATCCCTCTTAACAATATATTATAGAATCTAAAAGTAAAGTTCTGCAACAGGCCACCCACATTTGGTTAATGAGGGTGGTACCAACTACCACTGGAGGGCCAATAGAACTGCAGGGGGGTGGGATCAGTGTGCAAGATGGGGTTGTGACCTGAACTTTGCTCCACAATAGGTTCAAATAACCAAACACACACCTAGCACCTGCTGCCCGGGCTGTGTTTGAGTGAGTGTGTGTGTGTGTGTGTGTGTGTGTACAAGTAATTTACACATACTTTCTCAACACGTGTACACCAGCTGGTGCATTCTGGCATCAACAGAAATTACATGATCAGAAACATACTCAAAACAATAACCCTATCAAACATATGTCACCAAATGCTTATTGTGTCGATATTGCTATTATATGCTGCTTTTCTCCACATGCCATAAATGAGTGATCTTTTGGTTCGACTGAACAACCACACTGCTGTTTTCCTAACTTATTTTAGCTGAATGGTTATATAATCTTTATCTGAGCTTTAAATACCTAGGTGTGACAATCACACAGGACCTGTCTTGGTCACTTCACATAAAGACCACTGTGAAGGAGGCCGTCTCTTCTACCTCAGACGCCTGAGAGACTTCAAGCTCCCTCTCACAGTGCTCAGGAACTTTTACATCTGCACCACTGAGAGCATCCTGTGCAGGAGCATCACCACCTGGATGGGCAGCTGCACCAAGCAGGACTTCTTGGTCCTGAGGAGGGTGTTCCGTTCAGCTAAGTGGACTATCAGATCCACCTTCCCCAACCTGAAGGACATCTACACCCGACAATGGAGGTCAAGGACTGTGAAGATCCTGAAGCAGCCTAGCCATCTCTTTTCTCCCGCTGCCGTCAGGCCGACGTTATCGTTGATAAAGATTGCCACTGAGAGAATGAGGAAGAGTTTCTTCCCTCAGGCCATCCGTTTGCTCAACTCTGAGCTTTAAACCAGACTGTGCAATACACACAGGCACCTTTTACACCTTTGACACCTTTTACACATGCACCTTATGTAACATAACAGTTCCACTTGCTTTATTTATTACTACTATTATTACTTATCATTTATTATTGATTTATTTATGTGTATGTATCTGTATATATACATAAAGTATACATATTTCTTGAACACTTATTTTTATTTTTATTTTATTTTTTACATTAAAAAAAATTCTATGTTTCTTTTTATTGAAACTGGATGCTGATACAAAACACATTTCACTGCACATTGTACAGCGTATAATTGTGTATGTCACTCATAAAGCTTAATCTTCAATCTTGTATTTTTTTTCCTATATGTATGATACAGCAAACAAGGAGATTGTCTAAATATGCTGTGTTACAGGAAGAAAAAACATATCTACAGGACTCACACGCAAACACATACCAGCCAAGCAACTATCAAGCAGTCCTAAAAAGATTCTGTCATACAAAACCAGATGATTTAGATTCACAATGTATCTGAACTTGGTTTTGTCTCAAGGAGACAAAGAGATAAGATATACTTTTCCTTGAGTGCAATTTGAATGCCTAAACACCTATTAACAGTGCTAAATATTATCTTGAAAACTTGTTTTCTCAAAACAATAATCTTCCCTGGAGGTTTCACGTAATACCTTTTGTATTTTTTAAAATCATTTTACTAATCTTTAATTAACTCAACAAAAGATTTGGGATCCTCAGCACCATCGCTCAAAGGACTAATTCATAATAAAGGACTCCCAGTGTCTGCCATGAAACTGTGTAGTATGAGGCTGCAGTGATGGACAAATTTAGAATGGAGTGAATTGGCTGATATAAAAAGAACAGGCCCTAATTTATGCATTAGCATATATTACCACTTATTTATTTATTTTTATTTATTTACAGTGGATGCGGAAAGTATTCAGACCGCTTTAAAATTTTCACTCTTTGTTTCATTGCAGCCATTTGCTAAAATCAAAAAACACACAGAGATGAGAGATGTTTGATCACAGAGGAATTTTAAAATGTATTGATAATGGAGAAGAAAAGAGATGTGATGTAACTGTCAGAAAATGTATTGTAGATTACTTACTGTTTAATGAGATGGAGTTATAGACAAGTTAGCTGACCAAAGTGTTAGCCACACAAACAGTAATGCAAGTGCACCTCTCTCCTAGATTGTTATGGTGGGCCCTGGGGAGACTAGGCCTACCATCAAGGAATCCCTCCCGCTGGACAAATCTGAATCTGTATAATGACATTATTACGACTGTTAACAGTCTTGCGCTTTACAGGAGAGGAGTTTGAATCTGAAACTTCATATATGACCTTAGTATGGTCTCTTCTCGGAGTGATTAGATTTTTGGGTCAATACATTCATTGGTGACCGCTACAGAGGTCAAAGGTCGCATTTCCCAAAAACAACTCTCTATAACTGAAAATGCACAAAAAGACATGAATTTAGTTTACTAACTTAGGAGGACATTTGAGGCCTATAAACCGGTGGTGTAACACATGACCTTGAGACAAAGGTCAAGGTCACACTGAAGGTCTTAAATCATCACAAATTATAATTAATAGATTATTATTAAATTTATCCATTATAACTTGGAAAAGGTGTAAGATAAACACATAGTTTTGTATTACAATCACACAGGAACCCATATTGGTGATGTGACATTTGACCCTGGGCAAAAGGTCAAGGTCAAACTCAAGGTCATACATTTTAGGTGCTTAGCCATAGGCCAAAATTACAGCAAAACACTTCCCCTCCATGCAAAATATCTGTGTTCCATGATAGACTAAGCTCTTGCTACATTATGTATCATGTTCAGGGGTGACTGTGGCCCAGGTGGTAGAGCGGATTGTCCTTTAATGGCAAGGTTTCCATCCCCCGCCCCTCCACAGGTGAAGTGTGTGAAGAGGTAAACAACAATGATAATTTCTATATTTATAATTTATATATATTCTATTATACCATTGTTTTCCTCTCCGATCTTCTGCCATAAACAAATGCAGTAATCTGCTAGCAAGTGCAACCTTCCAGTTATCCAACCACCTGCCCAACCTGCAAACATACAAACATATTTGTCTCGTGAGTGTGCTGTTAACCCCACCTCCAGTAGATGAGCACAGCCAGCAGCAGGATGAGGCAGAAGAAGGTCAGAGCTGAGACCACCACCAAAGGTACCAGCCACTCAACACGACCCAGTCCCACCCCAGATGCAGGCCTCGCCTGGTGGGTCAGGTTGGTCGCTGTGTTGGGGCGATCTGAAGGAAAAATGAGGAAAAATGAGTGAGGGAAAGACATAAAGTTGACAGCCAGATGCCACAACAGGAGAGGTTTTGACTTGGTGCCATTGACAACAAAAGGATTAAAGAGGAACATTAACTAGGAATGTAAATTAATAATATGTGGGAATAAAGATTGGATTAGAGTGAAAATGATAATGACATTGTAAAAAAGAAGAAGATGAAAGACAGTGAACAGTAGTGGTGGTGTCGTGGTTTAATAATTATCACTTTCATCTTCACTCATGAATAATCAAAGGCTCAAGCTTTTTATATATTGCATTCATATGAAAAGGCAAAAATATGAATTGCTGTACTATTTATCACAAGTTTTGGAACCAGTTTTATTAAAAAGCAAAGACAAAACCAGTTTTGACAGAAAAATGCACTCTTAAAGTTCCATTTTCCTTTTGAGATCCAGTAAGTGTATTCTATGTTCACTTTCAAAATCAACACTGCTGATGGATAGTAATAATAAGCATCTGCTTCCATACACTAAACATGTGACTAAAACAAGTGCAGTGCAAACATCGATTGGCATCGATTGTGTTCGTTCCTGTTATTTCAAGCAGATTTTTATTTTGTGGCACACACCAAAGACCAGACACTGCAAAGTACAAAGTGTGCTTGCTGTGGTGTCATAAGCTGTTTTTACAGTACATCAGTGCTGGTGAGTGCCAACAAGCATGACAGCATCACTTGATACACTGAAATCGCATTTTAAGAATGTGACTATGTTCTATAAAGGAACAATCTCAGATGTCTTGATGATTAGAGTTTTAAGAAGGTGTTTTGATGGAACTAAGCTCGTAGTTTGCAGTTTGCTTTCAGTCTTTAGCTGTGTCAAAGCTCCATACTTAATATTGACCCAGAGTAAATTTTGGGTAACTAAAATTGGAACTATAGTGCCATTTTCTTTTACTTCATTTATTCAGACTGACTTTGTGTGTTTAGTTTTTATTTAGCTTTTCCTAACCAATAATGTTGTGATTTTCATTTGACACATCATTTTCAAAAATGATAGGTTTGGTGGCAGAAGAAACCAGAGAACCTGGAGCACCCAGTCTGGATGTAACCATTCCAATAAATGATCTGCATCAGTGTATATCAGTGTCCCAAACACACAAAGACCAGTACAGATCTCTTCCACCTTGTAGTAGGTTTAATAGGCCCTCATTTTCCCTTTAATGGTGATGTCGGCATGATTTTAATTTTGTCGTTGAGTGTATGCAGGATGGTCAGTGGATTTCTACACAGGGGACTTAAAGTCCCATCTCAAACCATGCTTATTATTGTCATTATTATTATTATTATTATTATTATTACTTAAGTCTCTCTTTAGCTTTTCCTTTACTTGTTGTTGTCCTGTTATTGGTTATGTTTAAGCACCAAAACTACTCGGTTAGGTTTAGAAAAGGATTGTGATTTGGGTTAAAATACACCTTGTTTGTTACACATTTACCACATGCTACAAGCTCTTTTTTGTAGAGTTTGTACTTTCTGTGTATCGATATTTGGGATGGATCATAGCATGTCTACTCAGAGGTTGAACAAGATCCCTACAGGAGAATATATACAGGAAAGATATGCAGTGATATTTTTTGTACAAATGAGCCCTCAGGTATTTGTGGTCTGACACCATCTTTACCATGGAAAGAGGAGTATTTTTTTTCGTTAGTTTGTTTTTCTTTTCTTCCACTGAAGAAACAGTATGACTGTTTCTTATAAAACAATATTAACCTTTCAATTTTAGTTGACATTAAAAACCACAGATGCAAGTGGTGACATGTTGAATCAGTTACTGAAACAGGCGTAACAATGGGTGAAATAATAACAATTAAAAAGAAAAGTTTATTCATATACAGGCAGCTAGTTCAGTTGTCAAACTTTGAGATGCATTATGTCACTACACTTTAAGACTTTTCACAGAAGACAGTCATGGGACACACCATTAGGAAAATCTGTTACCATACCAAACTAGTCCAAGGTTTAAATGGTGCTCTTATTGATTGTAACTGTCAGTGTTTCTAATTTAACTACTAAAGTGTTTTAATTGTAATTTTTCTTTTTGTCTTATTTATGATTTTCATTGTTAACTCCTACACTTTTTAGTATTTTAAAATTTTGCTTTTATCTGATGTAGCAATGTGTTCTTCTTTTATTGCTGCTGGCAGCTATAGGAATATTTATATTTCAGATTGATGAATTTCACACTAATGACCTTAATGCAGCTTCTTAAGCTTTTGGTGCTTATTTATTTGTCACTATATTTCATGGATGTAGCTAGCATGCTATGTAGGAAGAAGACATCCCTATTTTTAATGCTAGCTACAATGCCGTGACTGTTTCTCAAACCAGTGGAAACAGCCACCAATAAGACCTATTTGAATTGTCAAGCAAGCAATGACACGAGGCTGTGTTTACACTGAAAAACCGACAAAATAAAATCTTTTCAAATGTCACTTTATAATAAGTTTACATGCTCTTGCTGTGTACTAAAACAGCAATACTATTCACAAAGTAAAATAGGGAGCACATTTTTATATTAGCAAAAGCATTTTAAAGTTTGACTGACACCCGCTGGAACATTTGTTAAACTTACTTTGGTTCACTTTGCCATACATACTGTTAAAATTTGCATAATGTGGAATTGGGGCAGCCTGAACTTGCAAAGGTAGGCTTAGCACATAAAGGACCCTGTTTATCCCTGAACAAGATAAATCAAAATGACCATCTCATGCTTTAAGACAGCAAACACACACCAAAAAAAAGAACCTGTTCCTTTAACTTCATCTAACTATAGGGGTGCTGCAATCACATTAAGCCATCAAACAAAACAAAATAATACAGATCAATGAGCTGCCAGGCCAGGTCCCAGGTGAGCCACCTTCCTACAATGAGATCTACATATCCTCTTTCTCTGTTTGAGAAAGTGCAGCCACATAATGGCATCAAAACAACACACAGCTTAGGATAATTTGAACCATTTGCTCCTTTTAGTCCTCTTTATCACCACCACCACCACCTACCCAGTTCAGCTGCTGCAGCCGTGATGTTGCTGGAGCTGATGCCGGCCCCCATGGCCTTCAATCTGCAGCTTTGCCTGGAGCCGAACGCTACATCAGGCCGGGCCCCTGCACTGCACCACAGCTGGCTTGCATCGCCACTGACTTGGCATCTCCTCCCTTACATCCACACACACAAATATGCACAGCGCACACAGAGACCCAGAGATGCTGCCTGCCTATTCCCTTCTCCTTCTGCTTTTCTTGTACGATTACAGCGGTCTGCCAAAAATACAATAAATAAAAAAATAAACCCTTGCCTGCAACATGCAAACACGTAACACACACACAAGCAACCACAGACACAAACACACACACACACACCATACGCACTCATGTAACTATAAATGGAGCAGAGTCTTTTTTTTTCTTCCCTACAGCTGAGTCCAGCCTCCAAGCCCCATCTCCTCTTGCCATGTTTGAAAGTAGGCCAGCACTCAGATCAGAACAAGAAGAGAGGGAGAGGCAGAGAGGGGATGAGGGGGTGGTGAATGAGTGCGAGAAAGGAAGGAGGGCAGTGGACAGAAGAAAAGCAAAGAAGATGGACCAAAAGAGGAAATGAGGGGACTAAAGAAATCAAAACAAAAGTAATAAGAAAAAATAATGATGTTTGATCAGTAGAGAAAGGCAGGGTTACAGGAGAACAAAAAGCAGTGAGAAAATGGATTGGTTAAGTGTAGAAAGAAGGAAACTATGGTGACAAGGTAAGCTTCATTTTTCTATTCTGTCTGGTTGCTTTAGCTTTTACATCAATTTCCCACAGGCTGCTGAGTCAGGGTCCCCAATATGCAGCCTAATATCTGCCTTCTGCCTTAACCTTAAATTACCTCACCTTTTTTTAAACATTACAACGAGTTAAGAGATTGACAGTGGTGGGGAAAGTACACTGATGTAGTGCTGAAGTAAAATTATGTAGTAGTAGTACTCACAGTGTCCAACACACACTCCCTTAAATGTCTAATGATTCTAAATTGCATCACATTAAAATAATTGCACTATTTCTAAGTTGACAGTGGAGTCCTTCATATTATGAACAATCAAAAATAAGTAATTTGGAAAGATGCTATTAAAAATATAGTCCTCATAGTAAAAACTGTGCTGCAGAAGTGATCACTGACACACAAACGACAAAATCTGTGGTAATTGAAACAGAAGTGGGATTGTGATTTTTTATCAGCCTTGGTGCTTGAACATGGTTACAAAATGAACTGTGAACACCAGAATGTAATGGTTACTATTGAAACATACAGCAACAGCTTAGATAGTGTGAAGGTTATTACACAACATCAACACCTGGATGGCACAAAAAGTCAAGAGAAACTTTTCCAAAGAACATGAAAAAAAGCCTTATGAATGTTGGGAGCACATTCTTTGGTGAAACACCAAGACAAATTTGTTGGGCTCAGATGGGATCCAGCATGTTTTATATAAACCTCACCAGGGATACCACAGTGAATGCACAGTCCTGACAGTATAGCATGGAAGTGGTAGTGTGATAATATGGGCTGCATAAATGCAAATGGTATGTTGGTGATAAATAGCCCCTGAATGCCTGTGGATATACCAAAAAAAACAAAACTGGCTTACAAAATCATTCCCAGTTTGCAGAAGCTTGGCCGAAGAAGACTATTCCAGCAAGACAATGTCCCAAAGCACACTGGCAAAATCACACAAGGGTTTTTAAAGAAGAACAAAGTGAAAACTATGACCTGGCCAAGTGGGTCACTTGACTTGAATTCAATACAATACTTCTGAGGTATTTTTTTTTTTTGAGAAAAGTAGAGCAACAAAACCCCTCCAGCAAATGGTAGCTGGAAACACCTCGAAACATCTCTACATTAATTTATTTTATATAAATTCCAACACTGGTCTCCTTCATAATGAGGAAGCTTGAATCTGTCATCAAAAATAAAGGTGGACATATGAAGTATTGAAAGAAAAGCAAGGTTTGAACCTCAGTAGTAAAAGTTTGAAAGACTTTGTTGCATCAGGTTCCTTCTGTGTGCTCTGGTATTATAGTAAATCTAAACTGTTAATTTTGAACATACATAAGAACAAATACTTACTGTTCAACTGAGAAACAATGTAAGGTTATACAATTTTGAATCATTTGACAATTGATATTGCACTGTGGTGTATTCACTTCTGTTGTCTACTGGACAATAAACTGCATTAATAAAATACTAGTACTGATCAATTCATCTAATCTGCATGCTGATGTTGTTTTTTTGTGGAACTAGTACTTATTTCGACCTCTCTGTGTTACTAGACTACATTTATTATTTGCAAGTAAAATGCTATCTCCCAAACAACTAATAATACCAGCTGTCTAATATAGGTGGTGAAACAAAAAGTAAAAAATTCCCTGTGAAATGCAATGGAAAAATACACAATTAGTTCAAAACTAAGTACTAACTATCTAATGTGACTTTATGAGACCCAAACTGTTGAAGCACAGTTTTCAGCACATGTGCCTTCACAATAAAATCAAAGACTATAATGGACATTCTAGGTGCATCTAAAGAGATTGCGGTCACTTACATTATACTGGGCCTTTATGGTAAATTAGTTTTGTTATCTGATTATGGTATGTCTTGCCTGTCATCTTGTACTTTGTTGTAAATGAAAGCAGTGTCTGGAAAATTCCCCATGTCTCCAGATGTCATGTATAATACCAAGTAAAGTGCTACACTATCCTATATAGGAATGATAATGAAAAGAGTTCCAGATGGTTAAGATGATGTATATGTCACTGTATCTAAAGCACTGATTCCTGCCCTCAGTTGGTTATACAGTTAATCCATTTTGTGAGGTGTCCCTGGCACCACCATATTACAACAAGTTACATCAAGTTTGCTCAGATGGAACAGTAGTACATTAAGACCAAGCTAGAAATAAAAACAGAAAAACATTTGCAAAATGTGCATTGATAAAGAGAAAAAAGAAAACATTTATGAGGAATATCAGACAATTGCTGTTGTGCAAAATAATGTCAGGTCTTGCACCTTAAGCTATCTTTCAAAGCACTTGAAATTGTTTCAATGTCCAATGGTGTTTGCTTGGCTAATGTATTGCCAATGCAATGCCTTGAGAGGAGGATGAGTGGTGGTAATACAGAAGGGTAAGCATAAGGTCTGCGCTCAGTTTTTACTGGAACTTTACTCACACTCTAAATCACTGCAATTGGTCACCACTACAGCACTTTATAAACTCCAGTTTAATTATGCTTGACAACTTTTTCACACTGACTAAATGTATCACTAGTCTCAGTCTAGTTATCCTGTTGTACAGACGCTTCTCGAAAACAAAAAGGGATGCAGTCAAAGCCCTGATTCTTTGCCTCAGATGTGGCTTTCAGTTTTAGTAAAGAAAACTATGAGGTTGAAGTTGGGCTCTGTGAGGCCATCAATTGCAAAGTGTCATATAAATTATTAGATCCAGTTGATATATACATTTTCCCCCCACATTTCCACTTTATCTGAATCTAAATAGGACTGCATAACCACTGGATAGTGAAGGAGAGAATTAAACTATGATCACAGCAGGTCACTCTTCTATGTCTTGTTGCCACGTTCCACTGAAACAAGACAGCAGAAATAGTGACACTGTTGGTGTTTGAATAAAAGATTTTGTTACTGTACAACTTTGGTAATAATGTATCTTTGATTATTACACAAAAAAGACCAGAGGTATCCTTGCCCTACCACACTGAAGACCTTAAACTCAATATAGGCTTTACAAGTTCTATCCATTCCACACTTTGAAATTTGACCATTTTGTTGGTGAGGTTCTTCAGAAGGACCTGGGAGCCACAGATTCAATGTTTATTGTTTCTAGAATTTCTTTCAAATATTCTGACTTGATCATTCCTTGTTGGATGTTTTGCAAATTCCCAGCTTTCTTCCTGCACTATCAAAACTCAGTGACAGTACATTGACTCACCAGTATGGAAGGAAAAAGGCCATTGCTTCTGGTCTCCATCTGCGCCAAGTCTAAGGGTCACTGTGCAGTTCGGAGGTGCAGAAAAAGCTGCAGTTTCACTGGCTGTCTCTGTGGTGGTAACAGGTTTAGAGTCCAGTGTATTATGTGTGTACACTTCCAGTTCATCTTCTTTGCCACGTAACAGTTTACTTGGATTTGGTTCAGTCTGTTCTTTCTCCTTTACAGTGGAGTCGAGGTTCTCACTGGATGGCTGGTTCACCACTTTACTGCTGTTCTTCTTCCCTGCTATACCCACACCACCTGACTCTTTCCTCTCCTTCCTCTTATCTTTTTCTTCATCTTCCTCCTCTTCATCCTCATCCTTATCCTCTCGTTCCCTCTCTCCATCCTCTCCTTGACCCTTGGTGTTCTCTCTGTCCTTAACCCCAGCTTCACTGTTATCCTTGGCTGTGGTTGCTGTGACAGCAGAGGCAGAGGCAGTGGCATCTTTAGTGGACTCACTGGGTTCAGTGGTCTGGCGTAGACGGGTGGGATTATGAGTGGGTGCTCTGCTCGGCCAAATGGAGCTGGGGAAAGAGGAGATGACACCGCCGCTGAAACCCAGGCCGGCCAGTAAAGTGCTGGTCACCACAGACGCCACAGTTGCTTGACTGCCGCTAGAGGATGGGCCAATGCCTGTTGCCATGGAGACGAAAGAAAAGGGGATGCCGGAGGAGGTCCAAGTAGACGAGCCAGAGGAGATGGGAGCCATGTCAGCTGAGGAGGCTGGGGACACTGTTGGCTGAGAAAGAAATAAGTTACTCAGTAGGATTTGTAATCATTAGTTGTTGTTTCTCCTGAGTTTAGCTGTCATCTCCTGAATCACTGGTGAATACATTTGAGTTGAATTGCTCAAAATTCCGATCTACGAAAGGCATAAAGATTGACAAGGTGTCACAAGTACACCTTGCTTTAATGAAGTAAACACTGTATGGTCCCGTTAAGAGGCATGTTTACGGTGTGTGAAGCTGCTACCCCCACCTTGATGATATGTCAGGACGGAGCAACAGTTAAGGGATCACAAGATTAAAACCAACATGGTTAAAGTGAAAGAAAATAATCTTTAAGAAGAAAATTTAAACTTTAAGAAAACTTTTTACATGAAAGAAGAGATAAAATGACTAAAGTCCTAAGAATAGCCATACAAACTGGTTGTTGGAGCTTGCTGAGGTCTGAATGTTGCAGCTCAAAATCGGGCCACTGATGCAGGGAACAGTCTCAGAATTTTCCAGCCACAATACATTTTTCTGTTTTGTATGACACGCACCTGATATAAATAATATTACAAGCTAATTTGATGCACAAATTGAAGTTTGAAATTTGCTTGTGCTCACAAGTTCACTCAATAGTACCAGTCAAAAGTTTTGACACACGTTCCCTTTCAATGGTTTTTATGTGTCTTCATTATTTTCTACAACGTACATTAAAACTGAAGACATCAAAACTATACAAGAACACATATGCAATTATGTTGTTAACAAAAAATTGTTCAACAAATCAGAATATGTTTTATGTTTCAGATTCTTCAAAGTAGCCACAGCTTCATGAGGTAGTCTCTTGGAATGAATTAACTAACTAAATTTGAATTAACAACTATGCCATGTCAAGAGTGAATTTGGGTAATTACTTGCCTTCTTGTTTGAGACCATCAGTTGTGTTGTGCAGAGGTAGGGTTAGTGCACGGTTGATAGTCCTATTTAACTACTATTGTAATCCATAGTATGACAAGAACCACTCAACCCAGGAAAGAGAAACGACAGTCCATCATTACTTTAAGACATGAAGGTCAGTCGATCCAGAAAATGTCAAAAACTTTGAATGTATCCTTAAGAGCAGTCACAAAAACCATCAAATGCTAGGATGAGAATGACTCTCATGAGGATCACCCCAGGACAGGAAGACCAAGAGTTACCTCTGCTGCAGAGGATAAATTCATTCGTGTAACCGGCTTCAGAAATCACAAATTAACAGCACCTCAGATTAGAGCCCACATAAATTCTTCACAGAGTTCAAGTAGCAGACAAATCTTAACATCAACTGTTCAGAGGAGATCACATGAATCAGGCCTTCATGGTGGAATTGCTGCAAAGAAGCCACTCGTAAGGATGAACAAAAAGAAGAGACTTGTTTGGGCTGAGAAACAAAAGGAATGGACATTTGACCAGCAGACATCTGTATGGTTTGGGATGAGCTGGACCGCAGAGTGAAGGAAAAGCAGCTGACAAGTGCTCAGCACCTCTGGGAGGTCCTTCAAGACTGGTGGAAAACCATTCCAGGAGACTACCTCATGAAGCTGACTGAGAGAATGCCAAGAGTACCTTAAAGGATCTAAAATATAAAACACATTCTGACTTGTTTAACAATTTTTTCTTTACAACATAATTCCATATGCATTCTTTCATAGTTTTGATGTCCTCAGTATTAATCTAAAAAATATTAAAATTAACAAAAATAAATAAAAACAATTGAATTAGAAGGTGCGTCCAAACTTTTGATTGGTACTATACGTGCTAAAGAAAGATGAGGGTATAAAATTAAACAAAACAAAAGGCTGTCAGAACAGATTTAGGCACAATTATGATATACTCAAACTGTCTCCTTTGAATGTAAATGATTTGTACGAAGAGATTTGAATTTTGATATATTTTTCCTACAAATACAAACAAACAAACAAAAACAGAATGATTAAAATATCATGATTTTGTATTGTCTAAATCAGCCTGTTTTTAGCCTGTCCTGTTGAGACCTTCCTGACAGCACAAGGAAGACTAAAGCCAATACAGATACTGCTCTCTGCTGGACAAAAAGTAAAATGACAATAGAGTCACATCTGCTTTCCTTACCATTCCAGTTTTTACGATCCTTGTCCCCTCAAAGATCCTGGTGGTGTTAGCTGAAACACAGGGAAGAAACATATATTCAATATGCAACAATAAAACACTGGACAGTGGAAAACGTCAATGAGCGTCTAGAAGACATCCATGAGTGCAAAGTAAATACAGCCATGACAAGATGACATAAAGTAAATGAAAGATACTAAATACTTGATAGGGGAGTCAAAAATGGGATGTATTTAGGCGAAATTAATACAATTCATTTCATTTGAGATGTCTGCTTGTTTTATTTTCTTGTAGGCTGCAGCTCTCATAAACAAACTGAACATGAACATTTTTGTGATATTATGAAAACAGGAATGTTTACTCTGTTAATTCTATATTTGTGAGACAATATGTATAGCTGATGCTCACTGACAGTTTGGATAACAGCACAGTTAATGTAGCAGCAATTAATGAGCGCTTGAGGTCGAAGAGTTCTGTGTTTGTCTTTCTGTGTTACCTCTGAAGAGCATGCTCTGGCTGAAGTCACTGCGCATGTCATTCACGCATACAGCCTGGACTCGAAACAGGTACAGTACATCAGGGGAGACGGGAGAAATGACAGCCTCCTAGAAGACAACCCAAAAAAGCACAAAGAAAATCAGTATGGTTTGCTTTTGGTAAGTCAGGTCTGTTTTAGCCCTCTAAACTTATCATGAATCACGTTAATTCAGTTACAGGACTGTGCAGTTATATTAAGAGGGGTGCATAATGAAGGAAGATTTTTTTAAAATGAGGAATCATTTAAAATAGTGATGCAGAAGTGTTCATGAATAAAAAAGCTATAATTGAAACCCAAACATGTCTATTTTATTTTTTTAACTTTTTAAATTTTCCTAGTTATTCTGTCAGGTGTAGATTTAAAACTGGCACATCCACAGCTGCAGAAACCACGTATCACACATACGATGCCCATAGCAACAAAAAAACATTTCTCAGGTCTGCACAAAGGCAAAGGTGACAATCCCACCAAATGTGCAGAACAACTAAAAAGCTATCTTTGGACAAACTTTGAGACGTAAACCAGACTGGAGTGCTACAGCCTTGTATGCAGGTAGGCCAGTGTAGTCCAGTGTTCCTACTGAAGCTACTGTGAGGGTCAGCACACTATTGTATCTCTGTAATATCATTCCTACTGCACTTGCCACCACTGTCAGCAGAAAAATAAAATATACAAATGGTTGTGCAATGGCTCTGCTGTCTATCTCCATGACATAGGAAGGTGGTAATAAAAGATCAAAACAAGTTGCAAATCAAATCAAATCCATTTCCATTTCTTTCTTGTCTTAATGGTACTACTCCCCTATGACTACATTTTTTGTTTACTTAACTGAAGTCTAATTTTTGGACTATGTTTAGCAAATTCATCAGTTGAAAGGTATTATATGACAGTTCTTAAAAATGACACCTAAGTGCAATTACACAGTGGTCATTTTGACGTACTCTGTTTATGGTTTCAAAAAGTAAAATAAGTCAGTCAGGAAGAGACATTTAACCACGATGATATTCAATATGTCAATAACACCGCCTGCTAATTACTTAACTTAAAAAAGTTGGTTAGCAATGTTGCTTTGCACCAAGGAGGTCGCTGGTTCGCGTCCCGGTGAGGGAACTGGGATCTTTCTGCGTGAAGTTTATGTGTTCTCCCCGTGCAGTGTGGATTCTCTCCGGGTTCTCCGGGTTCCTCCCACACAGTCCAAAAACATGTTGAGGTTAATTGGTGATTGTAAATTGTCCGTAGGTGTGAATGTGAGTGTGCTTGGTTGTCTGTCTCTAAGTGTAGCCCTGTGATAGACTGGTGACCTGTCCAGGTGAACCTGCCTTCACCCTGAGTCAGCTGGGATAGACTCCAGCCCCCCATGACCCTAGTGAGGATTAAGTGGTGTATAGATAATGGATGGATGGACATTGGTTTTCTTTTATTACTCAATGCGAGTAAAAATGTGAATTTTGTTTTGTTTATGAACCAACAGAATCATCACCAAGCCTACAGTCCCCTCAACCTTATAAAGCATTTTAGCATTTTTTCATTCACTGTTTTTGTTCAGTTCTGCAATGTAGTGGATAATTTAAAGCTAAATATGGTGAAGTTTCCTCTGGGAGCTGGTGGACACCAAATCTGAATCCATCCATCCCTTATCTGTACACCACTTAATCCTCACTTGGGTCGCTGGAGCCTATCCAGCTGACTCAGGATGAAGGCAGGTTCACCTGGACAGGTTGCCAGTCTATCACAGGGCTACAGACAACCAAGCACCTACGGGCAATTAAGAATCACCAATTAACTTATTTTTGAACTGCAGGAGGAAGCCAGAGAACCTAGTCAGAACCTCTCGCTGCACTGGGAGAACATGCAAACTCCACACATCCAAGGTGTCCTAACCGAGACCCAAACCATTCTGAAAATCAGACTAGCTATACATTTTCAAATGTGATCTGTGAATTGCTAGACAAGTCCTTTAGTCTATGTACCTATTCGGGGAAAACTAAGTATCATCACTACAAACACACAAGGGGACTATATAAAAAAGACCTGAGTCCAACTCATAACTTTTATGAGCTCACTGTCAGTGTGAGTGTTGCGGTTCATACTGCCACAGTGGAGGATTCACACTTCCAGCTGACTCTTTCCCTCAAATATGGATGAAATGAGTGTATCAAAAGTTTGCATGTAAACATTTTAAGGCTTTGATATACAGTGACATCAGCAGCAGCAGAAAAAAAAGGCTGGATTGAATCAGGAGTTCAGCACACACTAACTATTCAGCTTCTTGGCCACTCCATGAAGTTATTTTTCTAACATTCAGTGAACATAGCTGGATGTGTTGTTTTTCTGATGGTGTTCTCACTTTTGGTCTGTCTGCAACTACAACTGATGCAGACTTCACAAAGTGGTTTGGCACATTACGCACTACCAGATGAAACCTTCATTTCAGCAATTGAAAAAAAAAAAAAAAAGATCTTTGCCTATAGCAACAATTTGACCTCTGAAACTTTCACTCAAATCTGATTCCATTTTTCCCACTGTTGCAATGTTACTCAGTGAGCAATATTCTGCTGCAAACCTGAGGCCCATTTTTATTTTTAACCCATATTTAAGGTAAACAATGGTTGCCGGTTGATTTAAGTCTCTGGTGAGATCAAATCTAGCTGAATGTCACTGCTTCAACAGTCGTATACAACTCAAGGAAAGCTGACCTTTGTAAAAAGGAATTAGCATGTTCAATAAAAACTAAACAGCAGTGAAGGGTTTCCTATTTTACATGGCAGAAATTTTTGCTTCTGATAAAAAATTTTGCTAAATACTTAAACTTTCTGTCTAGTCCCAGATTCACATGAAAACATGATAGATTTGTGATATGCTCTCAGACAATCTATTTACAGCATACAGCAGAGTGACCTCATCCCAGTGCAATGTCACTTACACCAATTAACCACCACATTAAAACCACTGACATTTGAAGTAAATAACATTGATCACCCAGTTACAATGCTGGGAAATCTTGAGTCCTGGTATTCATAATGGGGGTTCATTCTATGGTCAGAAAGACCAAAACTGGCTCAGATGAGGTCCAGCATGTTTGGCATGAACCAAGCCAGGACTACACCACCACGGTGAATTCATAGTCCAAACAGTGAAGCGCAGAGGTGGCAGCATAATGATGGAGCTGCATGAGTGATAAAGGTGTTGGGGAGAGGACATTTATAAATGGAAATCCAGTAAATATACAAAAAAAAAACTGTCTGACAAGATGACTCCCAGTCTGTAGATGGCAGAAGAGGAATTTTACTTAATTATTTTTTGTTCTTTTTATACCTGTTGTTGGTGTCTGCATTTAGATCCTCAACCTTGGATCCTACTCACATTCTCAACACCTACTGTGGATCAATATTGTTCAGGTTTCAAGTATGTAAGTAACTACTCTAAGGTGCTACGATTCAGACTTGTAAAACATTTTAATTGTATTGAACAGGGGTAAATTCATTTCTGTTGTATACTGCACTTGCCATTTACTGGGTATTGTTCGAGAACCTTGGCAGCATTAATTTAGGGGGCTTATAGGAGCACAGTGAAGTCCTAAAAATGCCGGAAATAATAATTTACTCCCTTTTTTTTTCTCATTGAAAGTACATAAAATGTCCATTCACTCCAAATGGCTAGTGTTTGAGAAGATCATTAATCCACTGCACTAGTATCCTTTTCACAAGCTACATTATTGTGCTCTGTCTAGCTTTTTAGATTTCTACACCTTTCCTCCCTTACTCCTTGGATTTCTGCTGATTCAATCCAGTTAGGAAACAGTTTGCTTTATTTGCTACCCTCTTGTTCACAAGTGGTATGAACTGTAAACTAGTCCAAGTATTTTATTACATGGGAATTCTATACTGATTGTGACAAGAAGGACATGTGCGGGATTTGCAGGTCCTAAAGCCATCCTAGTCCCTGTTGTGACCTAGATAAAGGCATCAAGGGGGAATATGAGAGGTAAGAGCAAAATAAAATGGCTAACAGGCAGAGGAAGAAAATTATCTGGGGTAAATGAGGAGAGTCCATCCATTATCTATACACCGCTTAATCCTCACTAGGGTCGCGGGGGGGCTGGAGCCTATCCCAGTCGACTTAAGGCGAAGGCAGGGGACACCCTGGACAGGTCACCAGTCCATCACAGGGCTACACTTAGAGACAGACAACCAAGCACACTCACATTCACACCTATGGACAATTTAGAATCACCAATTAACCTCAACATGTTTTTGGACTGTGTGGGAGGAAGCTGGAGAACCTGGAGAGAACCCACGCTGCACGGGGAGAACATGCAAACTCCACGCAGAAAGATCCCGGTGCCCCCACCGGGACGTGAACCTTCTTGCTGCAAGGCAACAGTGCTACCAACTGCGCCACCCTGCAGCCCTATGAGGAGAGTATATGAGAAAAATACATGCATGAGGAAGAGGGGGGGTGGGGAGGGAGAGCAAAGTAGATTTCAGAGGGAGGAATTGTTTCTTGAGTTAATGATGGGAACATAAAACACATCCCACCTCTCTGCCTCCATCTCTTGTCATGGCTGATTTCCAGTTTTAAAAGCTGAGGCTGCTTCCACAGCCAGGGGGCACTCTGATTGCTTTTTGCTCTGTTCCCATTTTCCCACAAAGCCACTGGCCCAAGGTCATGCTTTCTGCTAAGGCTGACAGGCCTGTATCCTTGCATCCCTGCATCTCCTCCAGCTTAGCATTAGTATTCTGCTAGTTGACTAGAAGACCACAATGTAAGGGGAATGAAACCTCCTGTCTGTTCCTTATGTCTGAGCTCATTTTGGCTTTGGATAAGACAATTTGTAATTGAACTGATGGAGTTTGTTTTAATTTGTGATGCATTGGCATGTTGTTTTTTTAATTTTTGTGTTTGTGTTTAAAAACTTTGTCCTCACACTAATTAGTAAGTTCTTTATTAAAACATATGCTGAACTATTTCTTACAGTAAGTTGTATTTTGCCAAACCTGCATGTGTGACGGGCCTTTGCTAATCAAACACACAAACAAATCCTTACATTATAAATGATGCAGTGCT